AAGGGCTGGATTTTAGATGGTACAGATAGACGCAGCAAGAACTAGGCAATGAATTTAAAGAATGGAAGTACAATTGTGCCCAATTTAAGTAGCTGACTCCAGGAACAGATGGGCTTGACTATTCAGAGAGGAATGTGGAAGAACATCGCTGAAGAGTGAAAAATAGGAAGTCCAGTTTGTATCAAGGTGATGAGAGTTTTCTGGTAACCGTAAAGGAATAACGGGGCAATTGAAAATGAGATGAATATGGCTAAGGTGGTGTTCCTAACTACCAGAACCAGTTGGCAATGATGGGTAGAGATGGGGAAATAGCCAGAGGCTTAGTAGTCCCTGTTGGGGATGCTGGACTTTTACAGAGAAGCTCAGCACCTAAAAGACAAGAATCTGGTACGCCATTATTTAGAGATGAAGGAAAATTAATTTAAGGGCCTATGTTGGTTGAGGCACAAAAAGGAAACATCCCACTGGAACCCCGATGAAATGTGCTCACAACTAAGTACATTTGCACCCAGAAGCAACACTCTGGAATATTAGGACAACTTGTTATGGAGTTGCTTAAGGTTTTTCCTACTGAACTCTGATTATTTGGGGGACTTAATTCTTTTCAGGATGAACAGGGCTGTTCAACTATGGCTGATTTGCAGTATATGTAGTATATAGGACACCCTCCGTAGCACCCTTACCTTCTATCCATATGGCTGGTGGCCACCATTACTGGCTCAAAGTCTATCTGCAGGTATTTCTTCTTTGTTTGCTTACGACTGTCCCATCTGCACAACACTGAAGGGGCCTGCCAATTCAGCAAGAATCGATATCTTACACCTGCAGAATGCTTCCAGTACAAGAAGATAAGGAACCATATATAGATGCACTTCTGCTTTCAAATGCCACACTGGCTCTCACAAATCATCCATTTCATAAAAGTAGTTATTCCATGTAGAAAGGAGAGTTAGGGTCAATAGTACATTTGCAACTTCCAGTCCATTCTTAGCTCAAAAGCTACGCAGAGTAACAGATTTTATAAGATGGGACTATTTTGAGAAGAGGGCAGCAGACCCAATTTTCCCTTTTGAGTCGCCCAGTTGCAAAGCCTAACAAAGCTCTGCCATTCGTTGCCTCTTCCTCTGCATCAAGAGAAGCTTGGTCTTCTCGTGGATGATTTATCTTTACGCCTGTCCCCTTTAAGATGGCAGTTCAAAGAGTCCTGTGCAGTCGTGAATACACACTGGCAAGGGAAGGCAGTGCCTTATTCTTTGTGTGTCTCTTGCACAAAGCTTTTATGCAAGCATGGAGAGGAAAGGGACGGAGAAGCAGGAAAAGTCAGGTTTGGCTCACAGTCTGCTAGCTGCCAACACATAAGATGGTGAGGTAGACGTATACTTTGAATTCTTGTGACCTATGGGGTAGAAATTGATTTGAAGGTTCCTCGAGACTCTTCTTGATTTCAATTATGCAAGATTTGTTGAGGGTCTCTGTATAGGACTCAGCGGTTGTGTTTGACCTTCTGAGCTCAGTCTCTGCATAATATATTAATACATCCTTTGACAAGATGGAAGAGAAAAGGTCATTCCATCTATTTTCAAGTTATCTCCCTAATACAATTTGGTGAGAACCCTTTGAGCAGAGGAAAGTTTCCGACTTAATTTTACCTGCCAATTCTCCAGCCGCTCCCTGGCAAGAAGAAGTCACTTAAGCTCTCTGGAGGTCCTGCTACTGTTCTACCATTTAGTTTATTTCATGGGAACTGTATTTTCTCATCCTCCTAGTCAGTATCTTTTGTAGCTTATACTTGTTTTACTTTTCTAACCTGTACTTTAAAACATAGAATTGCAGCGGGTCAAAGAAGGAAGGAATATTTGCAATGACAGTGGTTTACACAAAGGGTGGGAATCATGTGGCCCTACAAATGTCATTGGACTTCATATAATGGTAATGAGGACATGGTTGGGAAACTGTTCTGAATGCCACGTCTTTGCTTGGTAACATCGCAAGTGCTCTGAACACTGCTGCACAAATGCAGATGGTAACTGCAAATAGCATACCTCCCCAATACATCAGGAATTGGTGTGAATGCTTTGGATTTACAGCCCCACATCTATCTTCAAAACATTTGGCAGGAGAAATCCTGTTGCGGTGCTACACGGATGTAAGTGATGGCAGCATGTTGGAAAAGGCTGCAGGTGGGATGAAAGCATCAAGGTAATGGAATAGTCTCCTTGGTGCTAGCTGGTTTTGTCTGCATTTCCTCATCATTACCACACAATCCTGGGTAAAAGTTCAACTACTAATGTGGTGCATCTCCAGAATGCCAGCCAGGATCTGATGCTTTGTTGACATAATGGTTTCTGGAAGATTTTAAGGTACTAGGGACCCAATGCTGACACCTGATCCAAATGCATCTGAGGAAGTAGACTGAAGTCTAGGAAACCTCAAGCTACCAACTTCTTTCTATCAGTTAGCCTTAAAGGTGCTACAAGATCTCTCTACGTACTGATTCTACAGACTAACACGGCTATACCTTTGAATTCTACCTGTTTTTGTGTTTGGCGTAAAGCAAGACCTTTCTCCTTTATGACAGAGATAGAAAATGGAGGAAACTCCAAACAAAGGCTTAGGTGCAGGTCCTGTCTAACTAATTCCAGGTGCATGTAGAAGTCACATAATGCTATAGATATCTGGGGATGTCATGATCCAGAACTTTTCACAGCACAAGCAAGAGGGCACTGGCTCCAGCAAATAATAACTGGTTTCCAGAAGGAGATGTCTTGACCCATTACATCCAGGACTGATGATGCCAACAAAAATACGAAAAACCAGTGTCCTTTTCATAGTAGCCAGAGTTCCCCCCTTGAACTTTGAGGACATAGTTCTGGCATTTTAAACAGGTAATCAGGTAGTTAAAAGGCAGGTAACAGAAGTGCCCCACATCCATCATCTTTGCAGCTCAAGAATTTTGACTTATTTTGCCAGTAGATTTGCAAAATGCCTGCTTTATAAACCCTGCTGCATATAAAGGTAGCCTGTGATGCACTTTTGTTTGGGTTTGTACAACTGGTGGCAAATCTGTTCTGCGATTGATTTCAGAGGATTCAAGGAGCTGTCCAAATTGCTGAACACAGCACCCCTAGGCTTAGCACATAGGATTGCTCCTATAAGGTTCAGGTTTAAAGCTGGCACAAATTTACCATTTCACGGACACGGGAGCTACCTGCCACCACAGGCTCTGCAGCATCTAAATAGGCATGAACATGAGCTTTTCTGAAGTGAAAACCATAGGCAGCTAAGCATGGCAAAAGCTGAGCCACTTAGATGAAACCCAAATTCCTTCCCAGAGTTCAGCTCATTTGCAGGTTGAGATAGATGCAAAGATCAGCTACAACTCCAGGGTGTGTTTTTTCTCTTCTTACATTTGTTCCACCAAAAGCATCAGCAATTTAAGGTAAGTGTTTCAAGGGTATTGCTGAGGGCCCATGCCAGAGAATGCTTCCATAGTAACACTCCTGATTAAAATGCAAACCCTTTTTAATATATTGGATAATGTCAGTTTTAAAAAAAAATTAACCAGGAGTGAAATGAGTATTTGCAGTTTTGATGGACCAGGGGGAAAGACTGGACATGATCTGGTAAAGGCATCTGCACAAGTCTCCATGAAATCTGTTATATTTTCCCCTTGTTTCTCCAAAGTTGCCTTCCAAAACAACTTGTATCAGCAGAACAATGAGAGGCAGGCCTTGCGATCAGATTTACTGTCTAAGGAAGCAAGATACACAAGGGAGAGGGAATGCAAAGGAAATTATGAGGAGGAAGATCATCTTGCGAACACTCAAAGTGGCCAAGTTGAAAATGAGTATTTATGTTCAATTGGGGGTCAGGCCAGTGATGGCAGCTGGCTCACATATTTTGGTTTTGGCTAGTTTTAAAAGTTTTCCCAAGGTAGTGTAGCCATTTAGGAATAGAGGTCAACATATTGGGGAAAAACAAAACCCTTTTATAGCCTCCAAATAAGACTTGAAGTAAATTAGCTGCCCTATTGATATGGAATTCACCAACTGTCTCTGGGTCAAGCTGATTTTGTTTCCCTTTTCTTACACAGGAGATACCTCTAACTCTGTTTGTGTCCCATTCTCTTCCACTGCAGGGAAAAAATCATAATGGGTTGGTTGTTGGTCCTTTCTTTTGCAGGATCTGGAGAACGACTACAAATGCACCTGTCCTCAAGGTTTCTACGGCAAGAACTGTGAAGTCAGTGCCATGACTTGTGCCGATGGCCCGTGTTTCAATGGCGGGACCTGCCTTGAGAAGCGCTTGGGTGGCTACAGTTGTCACTGCCCAATAAACTACCATGGTTCCAACTGTGAGAAGAAGATAGACCGCTGTAGTAATAACCCCTGCTTGAACAGTAAGTGATCTTTTTTTCCCCTCTGGGATATTTCATTACCTTAAAGAGGGCAGGTGGGAAAGTGAGCCCCAATCGGAGGAGGTCTTTTGGGGTATCGAAAAGGTAGGAGGTTGATTGCTTCCATATGATCATAAGAGGTGACACAACAAAGCATGTCTTGGGCTACAGGTATGTAGCCTTTGTGCACCCACAAACTCATACATGCTCTTGGAAGAGTACGGGAGCTGTAGTTTTCAAACAGCATTAAGCCCAGAATCTTATGTGCATCCACAAATGTAAGCCAAGAATACCTCCATTTACCTCCAAATGACTTCTAAGGCAGAAGTGGGCACTCCTAAGACAGAAGTGCAAGGATTGCTACACGTGGTCTTTGCACCCAATTTTTCTAGCTCCAGAAGCCTTCCCAGCCCTCCAAATAATTTGTACAGTGCATTCCTCCCATCCGTGGGGTTTTGGTTCTTTGCCCCCCAAGGATAGCAAAGAAGCATGGATGCTCACACCCCATATTGTTCGATGGGAGGAACATCTGCAAGATAGCATGAAATAAATACATAAAAGCAACCACTGCAACCAAGTCCTTGTCCTCAACCTAGAATAGAGAGCCAGTGTGGTATAGTGGTTAGAGTACTGAACTATGACTCAGGAGACCAGGGTTCGAATCCCCATTCAGCCCTGGGTGATCTTTAGCAAGTCACACTCTTGACCACGCTCTGATGTTGCTTGGCCACCATAGGGGGGAGTGGCCATATATAAAGCTAGAATTCATAATTGTGGGACAGGACAAAGAAGAGTATAGTTAAACATAGACCTTGGATTTCAGGAAAGCCGATTTTAACAAGTTCAGGGTGGAATTCCATAACTAGTCCCAAAATTGCAGCAAAGGTGG